GGCAACTGTCATATATTTATGAGGGTTGCAGTATCCCAGATCACGTTATCACTTTTTGACAAGCAGAGTCAACAGGGAAGCCAGATTCACTTATAACTATGCTACTAACAACAGCAGAGATTCACTTAACAACTGTGGCAAAAAAGGTAGTATAATGGGGCAAATTTAAGTTAACAACTGTCTTGCTTAACAATGGAAATGTTGGGCTCAGTTGTAGTTATAACATCAGGTAAACATATTTATTCAGCATCAGTATTCTGCAGGATAACAGCTTTCTTATTAACGAACATGGCTATACCAGGGTATCTGCATTATTGGCAGGGAGCCTGGGGACCCAGAGAGATTGAAATCTTTTGAAGTGCTATTTGGTGATCTTACCACCAGTCCATCGCCTACCTAGCTGAAATCCTTAAAATGTTTAACAAGCTACATTATTTTCTATTCTGACTTTTGTTCTCAATTTTTCCAGGTACAAATGTAGTCCTTGTCATTAATCTCTCTATCAGAAAAAGGTAGTCCTTAATCTGTGGAAGCAAAATAATTTATCTGCTATTCGCACTGCAGTTTAGTCACTGGCTAGGTTCGCAAATTGTGCTGGCCCAAAACATGGTTCATGCAGCTGGATTAGTGTCAAACAGCTGGATTTATTGAGGGAGCCATGGTTGGAGCAAGCCAACAGCAATGTTTGAACCCAGTTATTCTCAGTTGACCTGAACCAAGGGGCCACAGCAGAAGTTAGAATCCTACAGCAGTCTAAAAACCCAAGTTATATTTCATTATTCCTGATAATAAAAATGTTAATAATAGCATACCTTACCATAGCACAGTGTATTAGGCAAATAAGCAATTTGTGCACTTTTATTCCCATATTTGTAGAGAGAATCAGATACAGAATCCAACAACCCATTCATCTTTTGCAAAAGCCTGCCCTTTCTCAGCATAATTTGATCTGTATATTGCCAAAAGGTCATCAAAAGAAAAGAAAATTGGCAGCTAAGTGTCTTTTAATGTGACACTGTTATGCCAGGGTTCTATTTGAATGAGCCTGCTGGAATTTAAAATATTTCCTGAAATGAGTTGGAAAATACTAAGCCAATGCCTCAAAAACAGTCTTTTTATTTTTGGAGGTTACTCCTGAATGATGCCTTAGAAACTGTTGCTCAGAATCATAAGCAAGTATTATTTAAATTGTCTGCTCATCTCTCACTATCACCAATATAAAACTTGATGTATTTTTTCCACTGAGACTTTGGTCATCCTAATTGTCTGTGCAACAGAAGGTGTAACACAAAAACATACTGTATTTTTCAGAGTATAAGATGCACCTCCCCCTCCTAAAATGGGTGAAAATTTAGCTGCGTCTTGTAGACTGAATACAGGCATTTTTGGCCTCCCAAACCCGCTGTGTGTCATGTTTTTACCCTCCCAAGCCCCCAGAAGCACTCTGCAGTGCTCTTCATGTCCTGTTTTTGCCAAAAACAAGCACGTTTTTGGGCTCCCAAGCCTTCCGTGCGTCGCATTTTCACCCTCCCTGGCCCCCAGAAGAACTCTGCAGGCCAAAAATGGTTTGAGTTTTTGGAAAAAACGGACCGATGTTTGGTGAAAATGGGCTGTGCGGAGCACTGCAGAGTGCTTCTGGAGGCCAGGAAAAATGTGATACGTGGAGGTCAAAACTATTTTTTTCTTGTTTTCCTCCTGTAAATTTAGGTGCATTTTATAGTCCGGTGCATTTTATAGTCTGAAAAATATGGTAGTTAAAGAAAACAAAGCTCCTGTGTCTGGATTTGTATGAGGCTAAGACCTAAATATGTATCTAATTTAGGGTGACCAGACGTACCGATTTCAGCGTGATAAGCACGCTTTTTAACAATTTTTCCCGCGTTCCTCCGCCTTTTAAAAAAGTCCCGATTTCCTGGTTTCATGTTGAAAGCCCAGTGGATTTGCTTAAGAAATCCTAACCGGGGCAAGACAAAAGACACCCTGTCTAATCCCCCCCTCTCTTTCTGTCTCAGTACTTTCATTGAAGATATTAAAATGTTAAAGCAACAAAACGGCCCCCCCCCCCCCCC